CACGTCATGAGACGTTCTCATGAAGCGCCAGTGCGCGGCGACTGGCACCGGGGTATTTCCTTACCTTGGGAGTAAAATATTGATGAACGCGATTTTCACCTTAGGGTTGAAAATACCTTGGTATGTTTACCTCAGGGGCAAACAATACCTCAATTTCAATGATGAATCCGGCCCCTGCAATCATCCATTGGAAGATGACCTGAAGATGCTACAGTCACTGTCGAACTATATTGTCAACAATTGGAACGTGTGGCAAGCAAACTCAAAAAAATAAAATAAAAATAAAAATGTGAAAAAATACTTCTCGAAAGTTGACAACCTAATACTAACTACTTCCCTTTTTTTTACAAATCAATTCAAAAGATACAATGAATACAAGGAGTTTTTGTGAAATGGAACTGCAGGTGCTGATTTTGCTTAATGTATCGCTCTAAATTACCCCTGCTCACTGAAAACCTTATGCTGATTCAATGAAAAATGGTATGAGATTGTTCTTCGTACGCTTACGAACAAGCGAACTCGAAATGTTAAAACAAGAAGAAAAGTCACGGTAGGCATAGCCGATCAACGATGACATTAAAGCGCTCTCATATAAATTTTGATTTTTAGGAGTTATTCAATCACTCACATACTCGCTCTCCGTGAGTTTTGTATGCATAAACTTTGCTATCGCTTATCTTTACGGGATTTGGCTGGTGAAACGAAGGATCTGTTCGCCATACACAGTTTTTCAGTAAGCGTTTGCACCTTACCAGCTCACAACTGAACAAAATGAATAAAAACTCCAAATTTTAGAGTGATTGAATCACTAAATACAGCATCGATGTCGTTAATAGCGTTTGCCACATATTTCCCCGAATATGTGCGTGCGCGTCTATCTGCCGCTCTTCTCTTCCAGATGTTGAACGATAAACCTAAAATTGACTGTCTCTCTCCTCTTGGTAGAACAACCGTGCGTTTATCTTAATAGCATGAATCTTTTTCTATTCTTCGCAATAAGCAACAGTTACAGAAGTTGCAAGGTACAATTCAATTCTCCAATCTTTTCTTCTCGTACCCAGCCAGCAGGAAGAACATGGTGCTCAAAGGTGTTAATATAAATGTGCGTCATTTATCTTTGTGAAATTTCGTTTCCTTATGTGCTTCGCTTTCAGATACCAGCAGGAAGGACCGTTGCCTTCGTGGGTCCGAGTGGTTGCGGAAAAAGCACATCAATTCAACTAATTGAGAGGTTCTACGATCCTTCTGTTGGCAAATTGGTAAGTTGACAGTCAAAAAGTTGTGATTCACCAAAAAGCTACTGTCGCCTAAAGTTAAGTATCTACAGGCATTCAGTGGAAGGAAATATAGGTGATGGGGTTTTTTGAGAGAGAGTTTGTTTAGCTGTTTGATGACGAAGATGCTCGTGAACTGAATCTGCGGCACTTGCGATCTCACATTTCGCTTGTGGGACAGGAACCCACTCTCTTCAACTACTCAATCAGGTGAACGTCCCCCACCCCTTCCTTCCAAGATATACGGTCTTAAGAGGCATGTTCTAGAGAAAATATTGCATACGGAATTGAAAACTCAACCATCGAGCAGATTGAGGAAGCCGCAAAGTTAGCAAATGCGCATGATTTTATCACCAAGCTGCCAGAGGTCTGCTTTGCGTACATTTTTTAAATTTTGCTTGGGAAGCACTGCGAAACTTTGAGGGCTATAACACCGTTGTTGGGGAGAAGGGAGGAATGCTGTCTGGAGGACAAAAACAACGTATAGCCATTGCACGAGCGGTAATCCGAAATCCGAAGATTCTATTGCTCGACGAGGCTACCAGTGCTCTAGACACGGAGAGTGAAAAGGTTTGGAAAGTCTATACTAGCTTACTACATCATTATTAACACACAAAAAACTGTGAGGTTGATCACTTGTCTTGAAGGATAGCTGTAGTTTGAGTCTTGACAAAAACGGAAAAAAAATGAAAGATATCATTGTATCATCACAGTGGAACAAAATGAAATTGGCTGTAAGAGTTAGTGTTCAACATCTTAACTACTACAAACTCATTGGTTGAATTTTGAGCTCCGCATTATTTTCTCTAGCATATTTAGATAATATGTATAGTATGTATGTATAATAGTATGTATGCACTACATAGCTTGATTAACCACAATATGCTTTAATAATTTGCTTCGCAGCTAATTTTTCGTTGCTTCTAGATTGTTCAAGAAGCTTTGGAAAGAGCAAAAGAAGGAAGAACGTGCATTGTCATAGCTCACCGACTCTCATCCATTCAGAATGCTGACTTAATTGTAGTACTCAGAGACGGAAAAGTGGAGGTAAATTCTATAATAGAATTATAGAATGTTTATCAAGCATAATATATAAAATCTGAGGAAAAAGTACTTTACATCGTCTCTTCTTTTCTAAAACGTAAGGTTACAAAAGTGATGAAAATGAATTGCGAATGTTGTAAAAGATTGGCTTACGGATTTCCAACCATGCGAGCGCATTCTGAACGATTTTGAAGCTTGGAATGTTTTACAGTCGAAAGGGACATTTAAGAAAGGACTAAATGCGTCTTATACGTAGCCCATGCACGCAATTTTTTGCAGAGCAGACTCGGAATTAGCTAATCGCTTTGCTGGTATAAATCTTACCACTTTAGCTTAAGCAAATCTTCTTGTCAGTCCTATTCATAAAACAAGTGGAGTGCGCCCATCTCAAATTATCGTTTTGCTTATTTACAATTTACAACTTATAAGGTCGTAAAGATTACTGCAAATTTCTCATTGCTTGGCAAATATAATCTGTCGGAAAGTTGAGAAAACCTATCTTTTATAGTTTGTATTACACAGATGTCCCCTTCAAAAAATATATGTAACTGAAAGTTTTGTGCTCTTTTTCTATATTCTCCAAAATATTATTACAGGAGCAAGGTACTCATCAACAGCTGCTCGCAAAGGAAGGCCTTTACGCGGGATTAGTTAGCAAACAGGATCTCAAATAAAGTTCGCAGAGTT